GAGATACAAAGTGATGTCACTGCCAGCCTTGAAAGGTTGCATGTACCCGTGCATGTGGAAGCTATCATTGCGTTCAAGGTTCTGCAGTTACATCTCTTTCAACTTCTGCTTGCTTGTTTTGCTGTTTCAATGGCAGGGTACTGCATTCCAACATTCCTCCACTTCGTCATCTTCCGCTCCGCAGGTGGATATTGCCTCGAGAATTTCAGGCTTACGCATTGACTTTTGCACTTTGATGCCTAATTCTTCAGCTAGCAACACAAGGTTGGGCTTCGTTAGCGACACGAGATTCATGACTTCTGATAGCAAGAGTAACTCTTACATGTAATACTTAAATCTAGCAAAGTAAAAAAAAATCCTCTATTACCAAGAAAATGTCGCTAATGCTCCCAATGAAGTCAAACAAGCCGTGCTCTCACCAAACGGACGCCAAGGGCCACCGCGGACGCACGCTCCATCCCACCGCTGCCACCAGCTGTTACATATTCGACAGCTGGACGACCGACGGGTGCTGAGGAAAGACGACGCAAGCAGTGCCAGGAAGACAATCCCGTTTTATGCACTCAGTGCCGTGCTTTTTATGCGCTGTCGAACCATAGGGTGGCAAAAACAAAGCAAGAGGAGCCGATATCACGGCAAGCAGGCAAGCTTATCAGAAAGCCAAACGAAAGAGTGGCAAGCTGGGCGAATGTTACACCGACTACCAGGAAGGCAGTTTCTTTAGTGAAATGTATCTCTCTCGCTCAATTCACCCAGTGGCTCTCCGTGTGCTGCCAGCCGTATAGCGCACACATTAAAATAACATTTGTCAACACTTTCCACAAATCAGTCATAGTTTCATGCTTGCCCAACTGCCAAGAAGGTTTGTTGTATCGCACTTGTGTCAGAAGCCTTCAGCTGCGTCGTTTTTACGGTTGCATTCTCACTGTTTCACTGAGCTTTCGACATTGCTTCAATCCAGTGTAGGTCTCTCGCTCGATTCACACAGTGGCTGTCTGTGTGCTGCCAGCCAGAGAACACACACGTGAAAATAGATTTTATGTCAGTATGACGGTAAGCTTTTGATGTTGTTCTAAGTATTGGTGACTACCCGCCACGGTGGTCTAGTTGTTGTAGTACAGAATTGATAACCAGAAGAACGCTGTATGAAATCTTGGCAATGGCAACTGCATTTTCAGTGGAGGTGAAAATGGTTGAGGCCTTGTACTTAGATTTAGGGTCATGTTGAAGAGCATCATGTGACCGAAATTCTTGGCATTCTTCACTATAGCCTACCTCATTATTATTGCATCACAGTTATGGGGCATTGAACCCAAACCAACATTATCAGAATAAATGCATGCCACTGATTCGAGGTCGATGGTGTTGGAAAGTGAGTGAGCTTCTGAGCATGGAGCTCCTTCTTAGATGGCCTGTAGTAGGTGAGGGATATATGCCATGGCTTTGCTGCCTGATTGCTTGTAAAGCTCTCCTTATAAGATGAGAGTTTGCGGAGGTCCATGGCATGTTCCAACAGCTTTTAACATGTCCTGCATGGTGAAGAGAGACAAGTCACTATCATGCCAGGACACATTAAAAGCTAAAAGTAATTACCGTATTTTCTTGATGGTAGGTCAACCTACCCTATGAATGATATCAACCCACATTTTGGGGGATTCTTGTGACAAAGAAAAATAATCTTGTGCAGCTGGTGACAGCCACTAACATGAGAAGCACACATGCTGTGGCATGGTTACATTATATTTCCTTCAGGCTGTGCTTTTGGTATATATTTAAAAGTCGAGCCCACATAAAACTGCCCCACTTGAAACGAACTTTCGCTTAAATCGAACAATATCCGTGTGACCGTGAAAATATACATTGGTTCAATGGCACGAAATCGCACTTACCAGAGCGTCACTGATCGTTTACAGCGAACGGAGTCAGCGGTCTGCCGACTTCCCGGGAAACCACTTTCGACCACCGATCAAGCATCAGCGAGGTGCCCATACATTCTTCATGTTAAACGTCGACCCTGCCTTCGCGATCCTCTAGTTGCCGCTCTCCCCGGCCTATTGAGGAAGGAAAGCTGTTTCCTTCCTCCATGCCCCGACTGCGTTTTGTTACGCACCCCTCCGTCCTTTCTCCCCCCGCTACTCTGAGCACCCTGTGTCCCTGCATCGCCAGACGAGGCCCATGTTTTCCGGTCAGCCATCTACTCTGTTTTTGATCGCTATTACTGTTGTGGGCGTCGCCAGCCTGGGGTGACCAGACAATCTGCCAACATAGTCGGCCAGCGACTGTACCAATAGTCTGCGACTAGTGCACGTGCGTACGCTACACCACCGACTCTGATAATATGCGATTTGTTTCGTGTTTAGGACTTGTTCTCGCTCACTTCGCACACGGCTCAGCATGCCTTCCGCGCGCTTGCGGAAGCGCGAAAACGGCTCTTAATTTGGGTGGAACAAATCATGAAATATCGAGGTTCGTGAGGCCACGCAAACCTGCCAGCGCAACGAAATGATTTTTTTTACCACGGCCGCCGATTCTTGGAACAGTGCCGCGTGCACTGACCCAGGCAACAGTGCTTTCACTTCTGCACGCACAGGCACTCTTTCAAGTTTTCCTACGTGCGAATTTTGCGGACCTTTCGAGCAAGCTACCCAACCTGCCTCCTTCCCGTGTGTTTTGGTTTTCAAGGTCGCCCTCTCACGGCATCCTCTCCTCTTTTTATCGCAAGCCACGCTGGCTCGAGTTAGTTTCGTTTTCTGACTGTAAATGGGCCCAGAGCTGTTCCATGCATTCTGGCATGTGTGTCGCGTGTGCGGGTCTTGCTCGCTCTCGGTGTGCGTGTGTGATCAGGATGGCAAATGGGGGACTAGCATGCTTTTTCCTTGCCCCTCAACAAAACGTCGAAAGTCTGATCGCTTGGCTTGAGTGTAATCCGCGCGTTAGGTGCCGCGTCGCGGAGCACTTGCTCATAGCTGTTGACCACCTGGCAGCCAACTTGCCGCTTCGGGCGTCCCGGCATTCAGCTGTGTAGATGTTGAATATTTCGTGGGTGGCGGTGATGGCTACATGCGCGCGAAACTGCTTTCGCGAGGCCGACTTCGTCGACATCGGGCCCAAAGCCGAGCTTGAAGCTTCCGAACAGGACCACTGCTGCGGCGATTTGTGGCAGCGCGTCGTCGTCTCAGACCTGGGAGAGCGTGTGGGACATCTGTTGCGATGGCTTAATTACGGCCGGTGATGATGCCTACACTGCGGAACCGTGCACGGATTGGGGCATTGTGAATGAACTAAGTGGCGAGAGCGATTTGGGGGAATCGTATTGTGAGAACGACGAGAGTTTGGAGCCAGTGCCTCAAGCAGTTTATGCCACGGGCCTCGGTGAACTGAGCACCCTGCCGTTTTAAATGAACCCAAGACCGCCCTTATCGCTTCTGCTCTTTGAAACACGTGCATCACGGACTTTTTGGGGCAAAAAAAAAAAGTTTGTGTTCTCACTCACAACTTTTCTTAAAAACTGTGTTTCATTTATTACGAACTTCAGGATACAGCGAACGAATGAGGTGTCAGGCTCAGGTTCGTTATAAGCGGGCTCGACTGTATTGCACGCTTGCTCAGAAGTGTTTTTTTTTTAACTATCACTTTGCCATTGCTCTTCATCTGAAGTGCCACAGTTTATTAGAAGCACATCTGTTTAATTAAAAAACAGCCAACACTTCTTACCAGGTGTGGACATCTTTTTTTAACTGTCATTACTAGCTGCACCAGCTGAAAGCTGCTCTGCAGTGGTGACATTACATAAAGGGTCGCCTTCAAGCCTCCTTATATGAAATCATTGAAAACTAGCTTATACAGAAGCCAAGGAAGGTATAGAGGATGTTAATTGTGCTCTTTTATTGGCACTGTAGTAGTAATTGTGACATAAGTGTGAAAAAAAACCAAGACGAAAAGACAACTTTGTACCTGCAGTAAGCAGACCTACAACCCTCAGATTACATGCCCGATCATTTAACCTATTTAAACTACACTGCCAGGTATGGTATTTCTATGTATAGTACAAGGATTTGCTTTTAATGTCATAGTATAACAGAGCTCAGTTGACAGAAATGGTGCCAGCTTTGTTTGTTAAAGTGAACTGTAAAATAGAATTGTTTTTCTGAGAGCAGTGTCTCTATTTGAAGTATTTGGGGGTGTGCTTGCTTGTATTGTCAAATAAGCATCCAAAGTAGTGATAAGCGCTAGTTGGTTTAAGTCACTTGTGTTCATATTTGTAAAAAAAAAAAGCAGATGCAGACATAAGGAACACATACTTATGACCAGTGCTTGTACTGTGAATGAAATTTTGAATTGTGTCTGCACCTGTTTTTTTTCCTTCAAAAAAGCCGATGCAAACATAAGAAACACATACTTAGGACCAGTGCTCGTACTGTGTTTGAGTTTCTGAATTGTGTCTGCACCTGTTTTTTTTTTTTTTCACTACAAATATGAATGAAATACAATTGTTTCAGCAAATGTTCTGTACAAGTTTCTCAAAAGTTACACTAGTCCTAGGATTTTTTATAAGCTAGTGTGTTATTACTGGTTGTCTTCAATATTGTAATTAGATCATGCATGCAAAAGCAACCTTGCAAGCTGCGAGTGCATCTACCATGATTACAAGTCAACAAGCCAGTTTTTAAGATGATGTTACTCATGTGTAAATATCAGCCTTCTTAGGTAATGTATTAGATTGGGCCGAATTACTGTACATGTGCCACACTACCTTTAAAAACTGTACATGCTTACCTTTACCAAAATGTCAAACATCATACCAGTGTGGTATGTTTGGCTTGTGCTTTCTGCAGTATAGCTTGACACTGGGATGCTGATCTGGGAAAAATTATGCTTAGTAAGTCCCTTGAACCTGCTGTCATGGGCACACACAGTGCTTTCTACAAGAGTGATAAAACTCCCATCCCCCCCCCCCCTAGCATCCAACATTCCTTCTTGAAACAGTAATTTGTAAACAATTTCACATAAAGACAAACTTTTATTAACTTGATGTTTCTTAGATTCGCTTGCGAATTTCACACAAACATGTGGTACTTGTCAACTAGTGTATGTGGATGTCTGGATTCTCCGCAGCAGTCAGGCACTTAGCAAGTCTTTCCTTTTCCATGGAGACATTGTAGAGGACTTTTGGTGACTGTGAACAAAAGTGTAGCGAGAGGTCTTTTGTTAGCACTTGAACATTATACTACTAGCACTGCAAGTTTACCTTCCGACTTGTACCAGCTCAGTGTGTAAAATGCAGCCATTCTGCCTGGCAAGCACACTGTGCGTGAGATACTTGGCGCTGTAGCCAGGAAAGTCACATCGCCCGTCACCTGCCAAGTCAATTAGCAAATCACCAAGTGTATCCACCATGGCTGCTTGTTTTTTGAGGGCGAGCTAGAAAAACAGGTGGCACAATGCATAGGTATCTTTTAGTATTCCACAGTATAATCAGGGGGTGAAAACTCTCTGTACATCCCATGTATTTGCTCTCGGCAGCGGAAGCGTCGCTTTTACCACTCGCGGTTGCCGGGCATTTTATTAGAAATACATCACAAACTGAAAATTTCTTTCATGATGTCACTGGTGAGATCCCTGAATAGAGGGAAAGGACAGAAAATTGATAAGAGGCTTGCCGCAAAAGCGCAAGCCCTTCTTTCTCACTTCGCATGCAAGCGAAATGCGCTCGTGCCTTCTAGCAGGAACGCTGGCCGCTTGGGCAATTCGGGCATAAAATTTTGGTAGTGTTTTTTAAAATTTTGTTCGTCTTTCTGAAGAGGGGAAAGTTGAGCAGACTGATTTCACAGTAAAACAAAACTCAATCGACATAAATGAAATGTTTTTTTTATTGCATGTCTTGCATAAAAGAACAGGTACATACACGTAGTGCGAAAGTGTCAATCTATAAATCCAGCTTCTATTTACAACTGACATATGGATATAATGAGCAAAGGTTGAACCCCATATCCGAACCAATCTGAAAATTGTCAACAATCGCGGGTAGGACACATTGTATTTGACTCAATCATGTTTATTATGACGATGAGCATCGAAATGGAGTACCAAACGAGAAGTTCAGAGGCACGAAGAGGCTTAAAGCAATCATAGGTTCCTGAAGAAAGAACGTCGCTGGAAACACTGCTTTGGCAAGTTCACTTGTCCGCATGAAAACAACAGCGTTGCCTTGACGAAGAAAAGTTCACTTGTCAAAACGTTGCCTCCATCGACATTCTCTGTAATAATACGTAGAAGCATTTAGTTCACCACGTGTATTCGAGTGACACTATTAGAAGTAAGGACTAACAAATTTTGAAACCATGGCTACAAGAATTTCATTAGCAGGAAGTCGCCTATAATTATTTGACATCATTTGAACTAGTCGCCAAAAGTAAAAGAAGCTGAAACTATGTAGCCAAGCCAACTCGAGTTCAAGCCTTTCAATAAACCCATTTTCTCGACAGGAGCTAGGCTGTCTTCACCAATTAGTCAAGCGACACTGCACTTCTCTCAGTCCAGTCAGGCTTGCAGAGAACTATGTTTACTCATATGTACTCATGCAAAATCAATACCTGCTCCAATAATTAGTCCAAGCTCTTGTGCTGACTCGTTGCTTTTAAGAAACGTTGAAAAACCTTGGCGGAACTCGAAATCCCCAGGTTAGCACACCGCAAAGCTGTGGAAAACATGCGTTGGCCGATTAACCATCTTCGACGAATGCATGGGTTACTTGTTAGGCGTAGCTCACTGCGGTCCATTTTCTGCCCGTCACAACTTGCCGTCTTTCTTTCCCATTGTGGACACAGCAACCGAACGACATAACTGAGCGAGATCCAGCTTCTAATATCGCTGAGTGAGAGGCAAGAAGAAGCGGAGGCAAGCGCTATGAACGCAAGTCAATCACTTTCCGCGCTTCACCTGATTTAAAATTCATGCAATAAGGAATAAGAAAAAACATATAAACAAAAGAGAAGTTCTTTATGGGGCGTCGATTTTTTTTATTTGTAAAAACTTGTGATGGCCAATAAATGCGAACATTCACATTAAACTCACTCCATTCAACTGGACCTTAGGATTCCCAGCAACCGCTACGAGCGTGCATGTTCTTTAAAACTGAAACTAGCTCCGAGTTTCCGGGGCCTGGTATAATAGCAATGATGTTTCATGCCAACATGCCCACGAGTATTTCACCACGGCTACATTTTTACCACTGTACAAATTCATCAACTCATCAGTTCAATCATGAGTAGTCGTATTACACAGTAAGATAAATAATGCAGTATGCTAAAACTATTTGTAAAACTGTGTTTTTTTTCCCGATGACTGGTTTCTAAACATAAACATGCAAAAATATTAAGCTTCTCTTTCGCATTGCAACCATAAAATCAGATGGGCTAGTTTTGTGCAACTTTTAGACAAAATGATTTCATGGTCTGAATTTAGATAACATTGACAGAGATATACAGAAGGAAGCAAATGCTTTGCAATGTGCGAATCGATGGCAAAGTTATGATAAAAAAAGTAAGATTCACCTGTAATGCAAGAGCAGTATAAGCATTTGTGTTCACGCTGCCTAATATGCCTACAAGTTTTGCTATAGTTATATTTATATGTTGATCAATAAGTGCACCTGTTTTACTGCAGGAAGCAAGTAGGCCCTCTGGTAGTTGTAGAAGGCACACTACGTGATGATCTGAGCACCAAGGCATCGGATGGTTGTGGCCACCACACAGCATGAGTAGAGCATGCCAGCAGCCAGGAGGAAGTTGCCGGCTCCAGCTCCACTACCTCGAACAAGTTGCTGGCTTCTCCACCAGAGCTTGTGTAGTCGCTCGCACACCCGCCCTATAACGTCCAGAGTTCCCATGACACTGAAGTTCAGGTTGCCAACTGCTTGGCCACATATGGTGCAGTTAATGAGGAGTTCTCGAAGGTAGCTCTCAAACACAATGAACTTTCGTTCCCAGGGAAAGGGCTCTTCCACCGTTAGAACTCCAGTGCTCTTGCTTTGATGGGCACTGCAGATGAACGACCCCACAAAACATGTTGGTGCTTGTGTGTTACTCAGTATTGCACAATGGACAAGTCACATGGCTTGGTTGAAAAAAAGACGTGAAAAGGTTAAGGCTTCATTTTTCTTTTCTAGACATAATATTAATGAGAACTAACCTACCATAATGCCATAAAAAGTATAGGGGACACTAATTATAGTAAATGCAATGTAAATAAGAAGAAATTGAGGTGAATGAAAGAATTGCTTGCCAGGAGCTGGGAATGAACCTGCGACCGTCACTTAACTTATCTGATGCTCAACCAAACAAGCTAACACTGTGGTTATTCCGTCGTCCTCTTTATGCAGTATATATGTATATTTACAAGTGGCAGTGTGAGTCAACGCTACTTGCAACCATGGCGACAAGTGTGAAACTTTTTATGTCTGCTAGTGTCGCGTAGCACGTTGTGGCGCTGATTGACACACCCACGTATAAGTGCACATATATCCCCCGTAAAGTGGACGAGGGAATGGCTGCCGCAATAGCTCAGTTAGTAGAGCATCAGATGTGTTATTTGAAGTGCACATGTTCAGTCCCAGCTCACGAAAAGCAATCTTTTCAAACACCTTTATTTTTTCACGTTTACATTACATTCACAACTAATGTCCCCTATATTTTCTTTGGCATTATTGTTCATTAGTTCTATTAATACGGCTTGGTTAGGTTAGTGGTAACTGACATACAATTATGCACAGCAAGTATAGGGGATGTTTCAATCGTTATGTTGCCTGTAGCAAGTGTTGTGTTGCTTAGCATTTGGGTGAAGGAAAAATTAAGGAGGAAGCATTGCACAATGCAACAAAGTATATATATAAAAAAAGCCACACCCACCAATGCAAGGCTTCCTTTGACCCCTACTTCTTCAATACGAGATAGCCTCGATTTTTTTTTCCAACTGACACGAATAAAATAAGACTTTTTAGTGTTCTTGATTCGTACGGACTGCCCTTCTTGCATTTCACCTTGCAACACATCTACTAATCAGTGCTAATGCCAGATAACCTTCGAGAGGAGTTGCCGAGGTCAATCAGTAGAGTGAGCACCGTGATGTCAACTTGGTGTCAGCATGCAGTCACCTCCAAAAATACTACTACAATTTTTTTATTGTTTATGGTCTCGATTAACGTAATTTCTCTAAATACTTCTTAGTGTTCACTGATTATCAGTGCACTGCAGATAATTTAAGTGGCCGATATAGGTAGTGTCCTTGCAGTGAAAGATTCAACTATAATGTTGACAATTAGCTACAGCTCAATTCTGCACTAGTGAAAGATGCATTCTCGATGGCATCAGGAGGAAAAGCACTGCTAGAAAGCTTGCAGCTTTTAGGAGTCATGATGCAAGGCGAATACCTGTATTTACAGTGTTTATTATTACATTGTGCTGTAGCAGAAATGCTAATGCAGCTTCAGTTAACCATTGCAGGGACCGTTTAGGTGCATCTCTTCGCAAACAGCTGAGAAAACGTAATTGGTGCACTGTATTATAATAATAGCCGGAAATGCGGCACAAGTTTGCTGTCACAAAACAGTCACTCCATGAGCTAAGTCTAGAATTGTTTGGAAGTGTTATATAAAGTAACTGGCAATGTCTTATACAAAAAAAGTAGATGTACATATTAGCACACGATTACTGTGTAAGTAGTGTCACATGAAATCATTTTACTGTTTCTTTGTGTTCACAGTGCAACTGCTTTGGTAGGTGGCAGCCCATTGTAGATGCTGCGTAGAATTTAGTCGTACATATGTGCCAGTGTGCCCCTCATTTGGTGAACATCTGAAAACATGTGCTTGTAATAAAAGAAAATGTTCATCATAAATCACCCTGTGCTTTCATGTGAAATAAGTTTTACTGCTGGGCCTAAGCGCATAGGAGATCATTGCAGGAGAACGTGGTCTCCTATGCTCTTCGTTATCTCGTTAGTGGTTGTGGCAACATCTAAAAACACTACTGTATTATAGAGCATCATGATTGCAAATGAGTAGCAACATTCTTCATTGCTGTTCTCATAGAAATCCTCTTGTCTAGCTAATGTCAATAAAGAGGCTTTATAAATCTGCTTGTATAGTTGAACTCCTATATAATATACACTCATATAAGAGACAAAGTGTTCTGGCAAAGATACGTGAATTATCATGAAATACTCCAGAGCGAACTAGCTCAGGCTGACCTCTCTGCAGTCTAATAAATTCTCACTACTACTCTGAGGTAAAAAGTTTCAGGGAACTAAGGGGCTTAACTTCCTTTGTTTCAAACTTGTATGGGCTGACACAAACCCAGAGAATAACTTTCTCAAGTGGTGGTTTCAGTATGTGAACCAGTTTGTGACTACATGTCTATCATATGTTAAAGATCACTGAATTACTCAGCGTCTGATAATGTTAAAAAGTTAAACTTTGTTGTTTGTCTACCAAAGTTCAGGTATTACAAGCAGACTTTGCCTGCTTGTAATACCTGCAGAAACTCTCGCTGAATGAGTGGAAGTATGCGACTTCAACTTCAGCAGCTGGCTTTTCTTCCTCAGCAGTGAAAGATCCGTTCATTTAGTCAGATGTTCCAACAGCTGGCTTTTCTCTAGCAAGGGAAGATTCATTCATTCGGACAGGTGTTGAGCCATCAAGAGGCCTGAAACCTGCTGGGAGCTGTGGGGCTGAAGCAACATCGGCTCAGGCTGCTACTGCTGCTTCATGTGATGAAGCACCACATTATGTCTGCGCTGCAGCTTCTGTGGTGAAGGAAGCTGCTGTCTGTGTATTGGCCAAAACGAGCACCTTCAGGGATCATGTTCACCTGCATAGCTGAGATGGTTATGATACACTCAAATAAAAAAAACTTCGATTGTTGTCATGCCCAATTGTTCATCATCATGCATTATTTTCTGCTAGTTTTCTTTGTTTAGGAGCTTATGTGTGAATCCTGTAACTGTGTGAATCTCTCACTAGATAAGTTCTCACTTATCTAGTGAGAGAAGTCTAGCTGTACTATTCGAGGAGCTAGAGGGTGTTAAAGGGGATATAATAGGGCTCAGTGAGGTTAGGAGGACAGATGAGGCCTATACTGTGCTACAGAATGGGCACGTCCTTTGCTATCGGGGCTTGGCAGACAGAAGAGAACTGGGAGTGGGGTTCCTAATTCACAGAAACATAGCTGGCAACATAGCTGGCAACATAGAGGAATACTATAGCATTAATGAAAGAGCGGTAGGTATTGTAATTAAACTGAATAAAAGATACAAGATGAAGGTAGTACAGGCTTACGCGCCTACATCCAGCCATGATGACGCTTCAGTTGAAATCTTCTATGAAGACGTGGAATCGGCAATGAGTAAGGTAAAAACACAGTATACTATAGTGATGGGCAACTTTAATGCAAAAGTAGGGAAGAAGCAGGCTGGAGACCAGGCAGTAGGAGATTGTGGCGTCGGCACTAGAAACGCCAGAGGAGAGCTACTAGTAGAATTCGCAGAACGCAATAATTTGCGGATTTTTAATAATTTCTACCGAAAACGAGAAAACCGCAAGTGGACATGGAGGAGCCCTAATGGCGAAAATAAGAACGAAATAGACTTTATAATGACTGCACACCCAGGAATCGTGCAGTATGTGGAAGTGGTTGGCAAGGTACGATGCAGTGACCATAGAATGGTACGGTCTCGAATTCGCCTAGACTTGAAGAAGGAACGACAGAAACTGATACGCAAGAAGCCAATCAATGAGCTATCACTGAGAGGGAAAGTACAGGAATTCAGAGTGTCGCTGCAGAACAGGTACTCGACTCTTAGTGAGGAAACCAACCTTAGCGTAGATACAATGAATGATAATCTAACGAGTATCATTACGGAGTGTGCAGTGGAAGTTGGAGGCAGGGTAGTTAGACAGGACACTGGCAAGCTTTCCCAGGAAACGAAGAACCTAATTAAGAAGCATCAAAGCATGAAAGTGTCAAGTACAACAGACAAAATAGAACTGGCAGAGCTTTCAAAGTTGATTAATAGGCGTAAAGTATGCGATGTAAGAAGGTATAACATGGAGAGAATTGAACACGCTCTGAAAAACGGAGAAAGCGTCAAAGCAGTGAAGAGGAAACTTGCGATAGGCAAAAGTCGGATGTATGCATTAAGGGACAAAGAAGGCAAAATAACTACCAATATGGATAGGATAGTTATAATAGCGGAGGAGTTTTACGGAGATCTGTACAGTAGCCGGGAAAATCACGACCTTAATACTATAAGAACTAGCAGTAACCCATATGACACCCCACCAGCAATGATAGAAGAAGTCATAAAAGCTTTGGAGAGCATGCAAAGAGACAAAGCTCCTGGTGAGAATCTGGTAACATCAGATCTGCTGAAAGATGGAGGACAGATTATGTTAGAAAAACTAGCCACCCTGTTCACGAGGTGTCTCCTGACGAGAAGAGTACCAGAGTCTTGGAAGAACGCTAACATCATCTTAATACATAAGAAAGAAGATGACAAGGACTTGAAGAATTACAGGCCGATCAGCTTGCTCACTGTAGTATACAAGCTATTTACAAAGGTAATTGCTAACAGAGTAAAGAAAACATTAGAATTCGATCAACCACAGGAACAAGCAGGACTTCGAACAGGCTACTCAACAAATCGACCACATTCATACTATCAATCACGTAATAAAGAAATGCTCAGAATATAACCAATCACTATACATAGCCTTCATAAATTACGAGGAGTTTGATTCAGTAGAAATATCAGCCGTCATGCAGACACTGCGGAATCAGGGCGTAGATGAAGTATATATAAACATTCTGGAAGAAATCTACAGGGGATCAACTGCTACCATAGTGCTTCATAAAGAAAGCAACAGAATACTAATCAAGAAGGGTGTAAGGCAGGGGGACACAATCTCCCCAATGCTATTTACCGCGTGCTTACAGGAGGTTTTCAGAAGCCTAGAATGGGAACAGTTAGGGATAAGAGTTAATGGAGAATACCTTAGTAACCTGCGCTTCGCCGAGGACATTGCATTGCTGAGTAACTCAGGGGACGAATTGCAACTCATGATTACGGCGTTAGACAAGGAGAGCAGAAAGGTGGGTCTTAAAATTAATCTGCAGAAAACGAAAGTAATGTATAACAACCTCGGAAAGGAGCAGCGCTTCGAGATAGGTAATAGTGCACTTGAAGTTGTAAAGGACTATGTCTACTTAGGGCAGGTAATAACCGCAGAGCCTAACCACGAGATTGAAGTAACTGGAAGAATAAGAATGGGGTGGAGTAAATTCGGCAAGCAATCTCAAATTATGACGGGTAGATTGCCACTATCCCTCAAGAGGAAGGTATATAACAGCTGTATCTTGCCGGTACTTAGCTACGGAGCAGAAACCTGGAGACTTACAAAGAGGGTTCAGCTTAAATTGAGGACGACGCAGCGAGCAATGGAAAGAAAAATGGTCGGTGTAACCTTAAGAGACAAGAAGAGAGCAGAGTGGATTAGGGGACAAGCTGGGGTTAAGGATATATATCATAGTTGAAATATAGAAGAGGAAGCGGACATGGGCCAGGCATGTAGCGCGTAGACAGGATAACCGCTGGTCATTAAGGGTAACTAACTGGATTCCCAGAGAAGGGAAGCGGGTTAGGGGGAGGCAGAAGGTTAGGTGGGCAGACGAGATTAAGAAGTTTGCGGGTATAAATTGGCAACAGCAAGCACAGGACCGGGTTAACTGGCGGAACATGGCAGAGGCCTTTGTCCTGCAGTGGACGCAGTCAGGCTGATGATGATGATTTGGTGATCATGCATTATGGCGTAACAAATGAAGTAATGCAGTTATACAATTAATTTATTAATTAAAAAACATTGTGGTGCAAATATTTCTTGGCTTCGTTGTTTTCCTGCATAGTATGCCACAGCGTAAAGTTGCGCATGCTCATAATCGGCCCCGTAAGCAGCCATAAGCTTTTCGAATGAATTTCCCCAAGCACAATCGATTAATTAAACTAACCATCAATCGGCACGCTTTCCCTTGAAGGCTGCCTTTACGCATACATAAAAATGCACTCACACCGGCAAATGAATGAACAAATAAAGTACAAAAGCATATGCCCTACAGTTGAAGCCTAAGCTTCAACGCACTTTGGATGCCGCCACTGCGAGACGATTTTCTGGCGCGCCGTGCTATTGCTATTCGGCATGAATAGAACACAAGCAATCGGGCCGTACCCCATCAACGCCGTCGAACACGTGTTGCACTATTGTGGGGTTTTCTTTGAGCTCATCATGCGGTACACGCATGCGGTACACTTGAACCTGCATTTTTCAGCTGGCCCTACAATGTATACACTTGGGCAAAAAGGCAGCCTGTCATTTTATAATCAGTTCTGGAAATCGCGAATTGGCAAGTCTGTCAGCGTGTATATACTTATTGCGAAGTTGACCACATTGCATTGAAGAGACACAAAAGTTAAAGTTATAATTAACGAGGTTACATACAATTTTTTTAATGTACACGTGCGAACCGCATTTTCAGTGCGTGTCGCATGATTTGGATCAACTGTGAACTTACTTTTTCACCAGGAAGGAACAAAGACGGCAGTGCGTCTTTGAGGGGATGCCTCTCCACATCAATGCCGAATCGCGTTCGTTGGAATCGCGACCGCATAGGTGTAAATCCCACCGCCGATTCAAAACGGGCAATTCAATGCGCTACAGCCACTGATTGAGCCTGCTGCCTTTCCCAGGCACACGGCGTCGTATCTTCACTTGTCTCCAATCGCAGGACTTGCAGCCCACAACGCAGGTTACGCAGCAAGGGTGATTCATGGTGTCAACACAACAGCGTGATACCCACTACTAGTTTGCTCACATCAACATGGAGCGTGTGAAATTAATGCAAAAACGTTCCCCGTATGCCGTAAGTTCCAAAGCTGTGTTGTAAACTGTGATAGTGTTCTCTTTCTTTCTAAAAAAGTTCTTAGGCAAAGTAAATTATAAGGTGTTTTACAAATTACGAACATCATTTGTTCCCTGTTTATTAGAAAAGAAATGCCCGTTCTGCGCGTTCCACAGTCAATCAGGTCAGCTGAAAATGATGACGTCAATAGGGCAGATCGTGTCGCTTGGTGTGTGCGCGGTCACCTTTTATTTCTCTATGGCGCGGTTAAAAACTCGTTTGGCCGAGTCGCAGCGATCTGAAGCGATCTCGAGCGTTTCGCAGCTTTAAAGCATTGTAATAAATTACTCAGCTTACGCAGAGAGCTAAAATTGGTTTTTAAATTACCCTTAAGACTTGGTCTAGCAGCCCAAAGTGTTAGTGGAAAATTGCCAAAACCGTTTCAGGGCCCCTATAAGGCGTAGACATGAACAATGTTCGTAGACACTGGAGCGGAGGGTGATGAAGACTTCAGCAGGGCTATCTTGTAGGTAATGTCAGTCATCTGGCACAAGATGCGGTAGGGGCTCGAGTACCGGGAAAACAGTTTTTTAGAGAGACCAACATGCCGAGTCGTTGTTTACAACAACACAAGGGAACTTGGGGCAAAAGAAACGTCGCGATATTGTGCGTCGTAACGTTGCTTCTCTTCCTCTTGCGATGCTAAGAGGTGCTTCCAAGCGACTTCTCCGCAATAGTTATAGTGCGAGGACAGAACGACGACACAGAGACAAGAAGGACACGAGCACTTGTGTCCTTTGTGTTTTTCTTGTCTTTGTGTGGTCAATCTGTTCTCGGGCTGTAACTATCGTCATGTCATACCATCTAGCCCAAGCTGTCGCGCTTCTAAGTTATGACTTCTCGAGCTTTGCGAGCTCTGGTGATAGTGTCACGGGCGTATTCAGTTGGCAAATCGACACCTGTCGGAAAGATGGGGTCGAAAGATAGAGTGGGGTCGTGACCAAGTAAGGGATAGAATGGTGAAAACCCAGTGGTATCGGGGCATGAGGAGTTATATGCAAATGTAACAAAGGACAATGCAAATTCTGAGTCAAGGTGGTCGGAGGGGACGTACATAGAGCATTGCAGTTAGAGTCCGGTTGAACCGTTCGGCAAGTCCGTTAGTCATGTGTGGTAGGCCGTCGTAAATTTATATTTGGTCTCGCAAGAGCGAAGCAGGTCGTCAATAACTCGGGACAGAAAATAATTTCCACCATCTGTGAGAAGTTGGCGTGGGGCACCATAATGAAGGATGACATCTTACAGAAGCAAATCGGCAACATCTGTGGCGCAGCTGGTTGGCAAAGCCATTGTGATGGCTTATCGGCTTGTCTGATCTGTGAGGACAGCTATCCATTTGTTTCCGGAGGTAGACGCAGGAAAAGGGCCTAGGAGGTCAAGACCAACTCGAAAGAAGAGGTCAGTAGGAAGATCAAAGTGGCTGCAGGAGTCCGGCAGCACTCGTAGGTTTTTTTTTTTTTCTACATTGGCACTGGTTGCATGCGGCGACGTAGCAACGGACGCATTGATAAAGCCTGGATTGGTAAAGTCAGCGCTGAATACGGTCGCAAAGTCCAAGAACGACCAAGGTGATCAGCCGGTGGGATGGGGGCGTCATGGAGCTGGGCGGTAACATTTGAACGTAGGTGTGAAGGCACCGCAAAGAGCAGTTCGCACCGATTTGTGTTGGCGTTGTAGTGGGCCGCGTCTGCTGCCACCGGGTGGCACGAACCTTTTCGAGGCAAAAGTGTTCGGTTATGGTGGCTAGAATTCTAGCCACCATAGTTCGGTTAACCAATAGCCGCTTAAAACCGGCTTGACTTGGCTGAAAACTTATGAACAGACGGCGATAGAATCGCCGTGTTGGACATTTTTTTGGGGACGTTTAGGTGGTGGGAACGAAAGGTCTAAAGTTCCTCACTAACTTGTGAGGATCTTTACCGTGCGGTGGTTATTTATCCGTGGTCTTTGCTTGGCCGGAAGCCTTATGCATTCGCGAGAACCGCCTCTGCGCATGGATACGTGGTTTCGTTCTGTAGTACTGTCTATAAGCAATGTAGTAACGACTTGCCCGATCATGAACACCGTGTGTTATGCTATTTGTGGATGTATGCCGTACGTGTATGTCTGGTAAGTGCGTGTGTAGCGTAAGGATCGATGTGTCGCTTCGGTGAAGTGTATGCTTGCGCCAAAACTTTCATTGAAGCTTCTTCTTGCGTAACTGCGTGAGACAGATACGAAATGCACAAGTTGGAAGCGATGGAATATTACCAGTCGTTCACACGACGTTATTTTCTAAGTGGCTTAAATATGTTGTCGCCGATTACGATAATCGGTTTTCTAAGCTATGTCTTTTCTTGTGGGTGTATACAAAGAAAAAAAAAAGAAATAAAGTTGAAGATATGCTGGGAGCACTATAAATATTCGCTCAAAATTGCCACCTTAAGCGTCTTCTTAAAATTAAACAGTGCCGCAAGGTAGTCGTGTCTTGCGGTGAAGTGCACGCTGTGTATTGCGGTAAAACATACATATTGCGCGCGCTCGTGTTTAAATTGGAAATGTAGCACTGACATTGGGCCTCGTGTGTGCACCTAAATTGTACTCGCGATATCCTCTGCCTCATCAGTGACGATGCGGCAGTCATTATCGTCATCATCTTCAGCTTGTGTAACAAGCACAGAACAATTTACCTAGTAAAATATATTTTGTGGCAGGCAATTCGCAAGGCATTCAGATGTTAGTTCATTGCAGGATTAATTCAAGATTGTTAAATGGCACCTTCAAATAAACGAAACATGCATATGAGAGGCTTCAGTCGTACTTCAAAATTTGTGCCATGCCTCAAATTGAAAATGATTATAAAGGAAATGTATGCTAAGGCTGGGTGTAGATTACCATTCACAATTCAATTACCATTCATATTTTAGAAACTTAGAAAATTTGTAGCTCATGTTTTCCTATCGAGTAAGCACAAAAATAACTGTTGAAGAATGGTCTACAATTACTCACACAGTTTGCAAGAAATAGATCTTTGAAACGTATGTCGTGCCAGAACTAAGTGCAAGGTGGTTAGAGGAAACTGGTTATGACCCGACATAATAGCGCATGTTCGGACGTTTTACATGGGCTGCTTGTTGGCAAAATGGGGTGAGAATTAGGTAAGTGCCTGCAGGGATCTGCACCAAGAGACGAAATCTGCTACATCTTTTTCATAAATTTCATTATTTGTGTCAAGCATGCGTGCACTCTTCGTTGTTGTGTTCTCTCAGGGAGCAAGTATATGGCATACGCTTGAAATCCATACGTTACCCCTGCGATTTGAAGATGTTATCACAGTAAACATGAACGTGCAATGTAGTTGAAAACGTTGCTGGGCACCAACTTTCTTAACAATCTGAACCCGCTTATACTACAAAAGTTACCACGTGACTTCAGCCAAATAGTTTCTAACTGTTGTGGTTACTGTCAGATAAAAGTAATAATGAGCTAGTTGTGCTTGGACAACAGTCTTGCTTTACTGTATTAAAATACAGTAATTTAGTACCTGCATATAGAACTGACCACTTAGTTATTTTTTTTTATTTGTGGTACGTCCTGTTTGTTACAGTTTACTTCCAAAATATTTCATACAAGGTGGTTGAGTTTTAAGTCCATACAGTGGGCAAATTTTATCAGCAGTACCGCATGCTGTACAATCACTTTTACTTCTCTTAGAAAGCATGGTGTGCCACTATTCCGGTATGTCTCGGCTGGGCTTCTCGACCTCGACGACTGTACATGTCGAGCAGTTTGCCAAGTGTAACTACTTACTCCCCCGTAACTCTAAATTTTGTCGAGCCATAATAAATAATTGGCAGTAAGGACCAGTTACAAAACACTTTTTTTATGAAGTGCTCATTAATCGGGGACCTAACAATTCTGTACATAAACGATGACAGCAACCACTTCTCCACAGATTGAACGTTTAGGTGGTACTAATAAAAGCATTAATATAATCAGACTTTTTTTTTTTTTTGAAAGTAAATACAATGCATAAATAGTCTTACCAGTCTGTGATTCAATATTGTAGCTAAACTATCGTTGAAAGCCAGAGTCATTTACAAATGCCGTGTGAATTCCCGGAAAGTGCTAGGTAGCTTTATATAAATTGGGGATGTCTGCAAAAAAGCAAAAAGCCTACGTTTATGTTGAACAGAAGTCCAAGTGAACATGCATGCATATGTTCATGAACTAGTTCCCTGTAACATGTGGTGCAACAGCTCTAGCTTAAAAGCTTCAGGCAGCTTTTAAGCTGCTCCAAAAAGATTTTAGTTGCACCAGAAGCTCCGGATATGCCTTTCATGAGTCACGTCACTGTGCCTGTTGAGTCTTTAAAAAAACAGGTTTGAAGGGGATGCTAAAAATTTTTTTTGAAGGGGTGAGTAGCAGACAGCATTAACTTATTAAAGTCTTCAATTTTATTATGTTAGCTCTGAGGCTTGCAGGTATGTTAAATGAGCATGGTCATATGAGTAACACCTCATAGGTCAATAATTTTTGGGTTGACAGCAAGGTATGAAGAGACAGGATTATGAAAATTGCAGAAGTAGAAGTAATGAAGTTGTCGAGAAGACTTTGTTAACAGTACAATTACAGGCTTCACGCACAATTTGCTTTCCAGCAGGGTGAATTTACTTTTGCTGATGCTTCCGATGGCATCATTGCACTTCATAAGCACTGGTTTTATGCACTGCACGTGACGATCTTGTTTTTTCAAGGTTTATGTACTGATTAAAAAGTATAGGATCAAGAAACTTACATGCTGTCTTAAAGCATAATCAGGCTCACCATAGAGGTAATTGGTGACATTTTAGTGAGTTGTATGTGGGAGGTCTGTGTACATAATATCATAGTAATTTTGCAATGCTGTAGCTTTATTTGTGTAACGAGTGAAGCTTCTTTTCCTGTTAAAAATTTCTGCCAAGCAAACAAGTTCCAACAGTAGGATTTGCCCTTGGGTGAAGCAGGTGGTAAGAGTGAGCTTATTCAGAAGCCCTTCAAGAGTACCCACTAAAGGAATTAGTACCTATAGGGCAAAAATTCCAGTGCACCAAGAAGGGCAAGAGAGGACGGTGCAGGTTAACATTTCAGGAGGGCATCTTCTGGACATCATCCTTCTCTAGCCACAAGCTTGTATGACCAATGTTTAGCAGACTCCTAGTAACATAAACTAGGTATGAATGTTGCTTCTCTATTGCAAGATGACACACCATATACCTATTGAGAGTCTCCTCACCACAAGCCCTTACATTAGCCTAAAAATATTTTTTTCTACGGTGCCCTTTTTTTGTCGTAAACAGTTTTCTGAAGCAACAATATGCACATTGTGACAGTCTAGGTGGTGACCACAGAGATGGCTCCCGCCATCACGATGTATACTCCAGTCAAAATGTAAGACACTGCAAAATCCTAGTCCTGTGTGCGTGCATACGACCTTGAACATGCAAGCAGTGACCACTTCTCTTGTGTTCTCTGCACTGGCGCATGCTTGTTGCACACCTGTTCAAGATTGTGACGGTGAAATTAGTTCTGGCAATGCTGTCTCAGAGGTAAGACTGTGTACACCCTTAGGAACACCATGGTGGAGCGAGCAGAGATTCATATCAAATGTAGTAATAAACTGGCAACACCATGGTGATATAAGCACACTTGCATTAATTTATTACATTTTTATTGAGGCAGACATCACACAGCTAAGCCTAGTTGTGATCTCTTTTCATTATTGTCTACATAGTTTTCCCGTTGGTCACAGCACAGGAAGAAAAATTTCTCTGTGGGAGCACCATATTTTAAGCTTGCATGACTCCAATGAAGCACTGTACGAACAGATATATTGAAAATGTCAATACTTCGGGTCCTATAAATGGTGAACTGGTTGTCACATTCAGCCGGTGATCCTGCAGGAGCTTTAGCATATACTCTAAGGTCATTTTGCATCAACAATGCCGCATACAATAGTTTAACAATGGTTGTTAATGGGCAAGATGATGCATAGCTTCAGTGAGGTAATTAAGCTAAGGGGGAAAATTATAGATGCCTAAGCACCACTGGAAAAATGAAAAAGCACAGAAAAAGAGCATCGGTCACAGCTGAACTACAGAAATATTTACACTGCACCACACATTCGCATCGTCTAGAATTTTCCCTAATAATTTTATACCAACCTGCCTAGCAGCAAGTACTTCTAGGGTAATAAAGTGCAGAATGACACTTGCATAAGACAGGGAACAGGACGCGAGTTAACTGCCATCTATCTTTGTTTGTGCAGGGTGTCTACCGACCTGGGAAAGTCGGGGAATTGGGGCCTTGCTGGAAAACTGCAGGAACTTTGGTAAAACCTGGCTAATTCATGGAAACTGGCGGCAGTCTGTGCCACCATCACAAAAATAAGCATTACCGTTGATCAATACTCAAAAAGTCACTCCTTCGACTGCAACTACAGTGAACAGCTAGAAGAGGCCTAAAAAAAGGCAATGCATAACTGTTTCTTCTTAGTGTACAAACAAAAGGATACACCGACCAAAATAACACAAAGTTTACAGATGTTTAGGCACCTGATATTGTTCTGAATGACAGCCATAAGAAAGGTACATCGTATTTAAGTATGACTAGGTGCGGGATGTAAGCACCGATGGTCAGCGTTCCATAAATCTTATTGAGTATATGTGCAGCTGTGTGAATGTGCAGGGATTCCAGGTGCTGGCATGATGCAAGCTTGTTTTCTTTGACCAGAACACGGTTGCTTGACCAGTCAATTTGAAAGCCTGTATATTCCGCATGTTCAGCGAGGGCATCCAAGGCCACCCATTATTTGGTGACTTCATTTTGAACTGTTGTGTTGTTTAACTCTTTCATTGAAATCACAGGTCTTATAGACTGACATGTTGTCACACTCGTGGCAGATTACAGTGTAAAGAAGACTACAGAAAGTTTGCTCGGCAGCTTATTCTTCCCATTGACTAAAGCATTCCTTAGCTTCCACGTTGGTACATGCACTATTTTGATGTATGTTCCTTCTACATATCACATATCATATCTGACTTTCCAAGCACAGCATTTCTCACATCGGTAAATTTGTGCATATTTGTCGTGGCCACAAATTTGGCTTGGCTTGAAGGCCTTTTAGTTTGGTGCTTATGTTAGAACTGCCATCACAAGAGGTTTGGTGGGTTATGTCTTGCCTTGTATAATATTATTGCTATTATTATTATTATTGGCGATGCAGCTGCAAACGTCCTCCGCTATGCACTTATTGCAGATATTTCAAGAGTAGCACACTCTCTTCTCATTTAATTTCCTTGAGATGGTGTTATTAAATCCATGAGTATTTTTTATCATTATGTTCATAGAAGAGTACGTAAATGAAGGTAACCAAAACACGCAACTTAGCTTCACAAAAAAAGCCTACTGGCTTTTTCAGCTTGCCTTTGTTGTACATAGCCTAGTCGCTCCTCACAACGGTGTTCATGCTGTCTGAGACGCATCTGGAAGCTAAGTTGCATGTTTTGGTTGCTGACAAGGAAGGCTTCTTTTAAATTCTAGATGGCTCTATGTATAATGATAAGGTAGCCACTGGTTTGGAAAAAAGCTGAATAAATCATTTTCTGAGCAACTGCAGCCAATCAATTTATGTGGATGGACATGCATCTTCACTTTCACATGCAAAGTCTGGTGTTCCCCAGGGATCAATCATGGGATCAGTTTTGTTTCTCATTTACATCAACGACATTGGACATGGTTTGTCATCTACTATCAAATTATTTACATACAACTACATCATTCATAGAAAAATTGACAGTACCTAAGCTAACGAGTCATTATAGTTGGACCCTAATAAACTCGCATTTTGGTGTCACCATGGCAAATTAACACTTCCAAAACGAAGGCCATGACATTTACAAGAGCACATAAAACAGAAATGAGTCAATATGAAATTCAAGCTCTTCCCATTGAAAAAGTATCCCTATTTAAGTATCTTGAATTTCATTTATCTTCTGACCTGCCTTAGAATAAGCGCATCGATATCATAACTAGTGAGGGGTCAAAAGCACTTGGATTTATTCAAAGAAACCTTTACTTGGTGAACTATACCTCTAAAATGCTAGCATACACTACACTTGTCCGTTCAAAGATAGAGTATGCATCCATCATCTAGAACCCACATCAATCATATCTCATCGATTAACTAGAATTAAAATAAAATGAAGCAGCAGGATTTATCACCAAGTGGTATTCTCGCAACTGCAGCACTACAGATATTACGCACTCACTTTCATTACCCCTTCTTGAAAAACGCAGACTGTCGTCACTGTTGTTGCATTTTCATACTTTTTATCATAGTAAATGTGCCGTCATGAAGCTTGTACAAACACACCTCATAATATTTTGAAACATATTGATCACCAATTCAAAATACACCCTTTTTTGGCACGCACAATTATGTATCAACACTCACCATTACTTCGAAGCACACATCACTGAACACACTGCCAAGCGACATCGCTTGATTCATTGATCGTGCCACCTTTGTAAAACCAATTCGATATTTTCTTGGACATATGACTTACCTATCTGTGTGAGTTTGTAAGTGCATGTATGTGCTTATTTTTACTCTTCTTTCATTGTAAATATATTTCCTCCTTAAAGATGATAGTCTTGCTTGGGATACTCCTATGCAAAAATTTTGGTCTGTCAGCAAAAAGGCTCAAGTACGACCACATCTACAGCATCCACCAGTATTGCTCAAGTTTCTGCGTTCATACTTGTACGATTGTCAATAAAAAGCAAATATTGAGCATATTTGAGGCACAATATCAACACGTCGATATTGTGCACTGTGTTTATTTATACTAGAAAAGGTATAAATAAGTAATTCTAAGCGCTGCAGCTGCCAATGCGACGCTTCGCATGGAAAGGCGAGTCTCCTACGCTTTGCTAAGACGATACTGTGCTGCTACCTGTCTTGAAATCTACAAAATATGGCCTCCAAGATTGCACGCATGCTGCGTGCTCGCTATAACAAAGGCCATCCTTTCATTTTTTGAAATTACCGCCAGATGGCATTCATGTCTCACGCAACACCTCCAGGATCCCATTCACCAGTTTTCTCGTGCAAAACATCAAATAAATATTTCTGTCTATTCACTCTTTTCAGGCGAAATACAATAGTCTTTCGACGACATTTTTGGTCAAATATGCAGATAGGGGGCAATTTTTTTCATGGCAATCTTCTGTATGTATTGTTAAGCGGTTTATTGACGGACACTCAGCGATGATTCACGACAGCGACAGTCAATGTGGGGATCGACTCTCTACACGAGCTGCTCTTCTTCTTAAGAAAAGGGCGACCCACTAGAAGGCGCTGAAGAGGATGACCCACTGTTCAAAGGCTTTACCACAACTACCCCGGATACGAAAAGGGAGCCACCTGGCGACCTAACAGCTGGTTACAATGAGCGGATCATGGTAGGCCTTGAGGCGCTCCACGTTAACAATGTCGCGTCCTCGACGACGCATGTCCGAAGATTGTTCGATGGGTTCAATCAAGTAGTTGACTGGGGAAGTGCATTTGACGACACGGTAGGGGCCTTCGTATTTAGGCAATAGTTTTGAAGATAGGCCAGTTGCAGTAGTAGGGATCGAGAGCCAGACGAGCGCTCCAGGGAGGAATGTGGGTGCAGTAGTACTGGCGTCAGCGCGAATGCTTTTTTGCCGCTCTTGATCATGCGCAGTAAAGGTCTTTGCAAGCTCTCGACATTCTTCAGCAAGCTTGGCTGTAGCAGAAATAGGTGCCCACTCAGATGGATCTGGCCTGTACGGAAGTATCGTGTCGATGGTGTGTGACGGGTGCCTTCCATATAATAAAAAGAAAGGTGAAAAGCCAGTAGTGCTCTGAGGGGCGGTATTATATGCGTAAGTGACGAAGGGTAGAATGGAATCCCAATTTGTGTGATCGGCGGCGACGTATTTGGAGAGCATGTCGCCCAGCGTACGGTTGAAGCGTTCTGTGAGGCCATTCGTCTGCGGGTGGTAAGCAGCAGTTTTGCGGTGAACAACGTTGCACTCTTTGAGAATGGCTTGAACGACTTCAGACAGGAAGACACGGCCTCGGTCACTGAGCAGTTCCTGGGGTGGGCCGTGTCGCAGAATGAATCGTTGGAGCAGAAAGGAAGCCACATCGCTCGCTGTAGCCGCGGGAAGAGCGGCCGTTTCGGCGTATCGCGTGAGGTGGTCCACAGCAACAATGGCCCAGCGGTTACCAGCCGACGTTAGTGGAAGTGGCCCATACAAATCGATGCCAACGCGCCCAAACGGCCTGCCAGGGCAAGGTAGAGGTTGCAAACCTACCGGCGACAGGTGGGTTGAAGTTTTGCGGTGCTGACATTCTATGCAGGAGCGAACGAATTTCTGCACGTAGCGGTACATGCCACGCCAAAAGTACCGTTGGCGAATGCGGTGGTAAGTCTTCGATACCCCGGAGTGCGCACACTGCGGATCAGAATGAAAGAATTCGCATATGTCAGAGCGCAGACTGCGGGGTATGACTAGTAGCTTAATGGCATGATTTGGCCGCAAAAGAGACACACACAAGAAAAGGAACACTCAAACGACAAGCACAGGCGGCACTTCCAACTAAAGCAGACTAGGTGCAGACCCAGACTTAAGTACGAAAATATAGACATGCGCAGTCTTCATACAGCCTTACGCTATCCAACAATCAAACAATCTTGTCTCCGAAGCATACAACGTCACCGACGGTTCGCTGATACACCTTTCACCTTTCTTTTTAATGTAATAGGCTTCCATCAGCTCACGCGCAGTTTTGTACCTGCTTCAGTATTATTACATGACTAGTAGCCACTGGCGGCCGTCACCGTTGTAATTGCGTCGATGGAGGAGGTCATCGCGAATGGCGAAATGGTGGGCTTGACGACGCAACGCGCGAGTGGATGGAGTGGATGGATCAGTCAGCAAGTCTATCAGTGAGGCAATCCATTGATCCTTGCGCTGTTCAGTAGCAATGACATGAATGCTAATCGAAGAAATGGCAAGGTGAGACACTGAGTTGTTGGCATTGTCGTCAGGCAAGGGAGAGCGCGACAGGGCGTCGGCGTCAGCATGTTGCCTTCCATTGCAGTACAGCACGCGGATGTCATAGTCTTGCAGGCGAAGTGCCCACCGGGCGAGACGGCCTGAGGGATCTTTCAATGACGACAACCAGCATAGTGCGTGGTGGTCGGTGACGACATCAAATGGGCGACCATACAAATAAGGTCGGAACTTTGCAAGGGCCCAGACGATTGCCAAACATTCTTTCTCGGTGACTGTGTAATTAGTCTCGGCTTTAGTAAGCGTACGGCTCGCGTACGCCACGACATATTCCGGGAACCCTGGTTTGCGCTGCGCAAGGACAGCGCCAAGGCCGACACCACTGGCATCCGTGTGTATCTCTGTAGGGGCCGTAGGGTCGTAGTGGCGGAGTATGGGAGGCGACGTCAACAAACGACGAAGTGTTCTGAAAGCGTCGTCGCACTGTGATGACC